CTATAATGTGCAGTTGTCAATGCTAAAGTCACAGTGAAGATTGGATACCCTTTAGGGTCACATCTATACAACATGTTCAACAAGAGCAAATTGCACATCGCCATGCAACATCATGCCTGAAAGCGAGCTATGGGTTTGCCTTAGTTGGAAGTAGTGCCTGAATGACTTGATTTGGGGTTTGAACACCCACTTGTGAGCAAGACCCTGTGATGCGGAAAGAGTGATCTAGAGGCCCAACACAATCAGGTTATGCACAACAACAGCGGCTCACAGGCCTCTTGTTATGGCTGCTGCTGCTGCAGTGCTTCCTACAGAGTGGTTAATCGGAAAGCTTGGAGGGGGGGGGACAGTCAGCAGCAAACCCATTCCCCCCCCCCCGCTAGAGTAATCACTCGGCACCTGATTGGCTGCTGCGCTCAACCATATTAGGAGTGTGCAAAGCATAGATTAGCAGGCCAGGCCAAGCAGCAGCAGGAACTCTCCTGCCAATCTGATCTATATTTAGCAACAACAGACAGGGAATAGCAGTTTCAATGTGGGCAGGAAACAGAAATGCGGGGGCAGATGGGGGGGGGGGAAATGGGGCCAGCAGAGAGGAATGGAATCTCCCAAGTGTTAGAGCATGCAAGCTGGAAAGGCAAAATTCATGTCACCTAGGGAAAATTCTTCCTAAATGTATAAATTCCATTTTTAATTACACACACACACATATAAAAGAAATGCAACTTCCTTAACCAGCAAGCAAGTAAGCTAGCTAGAAGTTGCATTATTATTTTTGATCTGGCGGTTTTAATGTGTAACGACAATCCTTTGGCCAGAGATTCACATGCTTGCTTAAACAGATGCTTTTTCATCTAACCAATTTAAGTTGAGATCGAAAAAAATCTCCTGTCTGTATCCATAGGTGGGTAGGTAGGTAGGTAGGTAGATGCACAACTTTCAGTTTTGTCCACTGGAAGGTAAATTATAGCAGGTCATGTGCAAGACTGACAACATAGCCATTATTGAACCATTTGGAACCCTTCCCCTTAATTTATTCCTTTTGACCTAATTTCAGCATTGTGCACAGCTTCCTGACTGTCTTTCCTTCCTTCTAGCCCTTGCACAGTGAAACTGCATGGGTACCATTTCATGTCAGCAAAGCAGAGAGTGAGCAGACATGAGAGGAAGTTCCTTGTGTGTTTTGTGATGCTGTTGTGCCTGAAAAAATGTTTGGGAAATGCATCAAATGCCTAATATTCAGAGAGGCTTGCAATGTTGAGCATTTATAATTTCATGCAAAAATCCAAAAATATAAACAACCAAACAAGAGGACAACTCATCACTTCCATTTTTAAAAATCTGCCACATAAAACTAAAGCTTGTCTGAATGTTATTAAAATAATCAACAAAGCTTGGAAACTCGCTTTTCCAAAAGTAATTTCTTCCTGTTACTCATTACATTAAAATTTTGAGAAGCATACCATTACCATTTCTTGGTGCAGCATTGGAAAGTACTTCATTATACTGTTTATCACATTTCTATTACTTTTCCTAGTTTTATTTATTTATTTATTTTTATTTATTGAGGAAACCCACTGTAAGACTGAGTCATTGCATAAGCTAAACCTTCCTACTTCTTATGGATATAAATCTAAGTGTTTCTTGATCATGTGAGCAGGAACAAATAATTCCTTCACTACTAAGCAAAAAATCTAAAGATTTCCATGCAGTCTTTGAATGC